ACCATTTGAAGAGCTCTTTGGAAATCCACTGCTGATCTTCCACAGGCAGCGCTGGAATCCATTTAGCAGGAGGACAGATTTTCCTCTCTGTAAGCAAGTGTTTTGAGATAAAAACACAAAAATAAAAAGTAAACATCTGTCATCAAATACTGTCAATATCTCACATAAATCTAAAATATCTGTCAAAGTTAACATTAATATTTTTGATTTAAACACAAAATTGTATAACCTACGTGTCATTTCTGACTCCATCTGATCTGCTGCAGCAACCACCTCACTGTCGGGCACATCACTAGACACAACACAGGTCACATCTGGAACAACTGGACAAATATTTTTAGGATTAAATTTAGGATCCATTTTTCCACCATAGAAAGATGATATTAAAATCAGATCAATTAAACATTTTAATTCCATAATCATGGAAATAAACACATTAAAAACAGTATGCTAGGATTTGGCGCCAACATTTACAGAGATAAATCTAAAATGATGAGCCAGATCTCTTGTCATGCTTGACTCTTTCACAACCTTACACACACGTGCGCGAACACACACAGAAGCACGCACGCACGCACGCATGCACGCACACATACATACACACTTCAGGTGCGTCCGACTCTGATAAGCACTTTTACTAAGGTTCAATATTCTACAAACAATAGTAATCGAAAAAAATGAATTCATTCATTCATACATGAACAAAACTAATAAAAAGCTTATAGCCTATTGGTATAAGTATAGCGATTCATTAAATAACATAACGTTACGTTTTCCCAGGTAGTAAGATAGCTAATACAGTTGTAATTTTAACCATTCAAAACCTTTCACAACGGGACAAGTACGAAACTTACCGCAAGCTACCTCTGATTTTCTAAAACAACAAAATGACGAAACGTAAAGTCTGAGGTCCCTCTAACCTGTGGGGGAGTTGTTTTACCTGAATCCCTGGCCGATACTCCGCCACTGTGATTCGTTCATTGTTGCTGGAGGCGGGCTCTTTGTAATTGGCCACCACCTTGCAGCTCAGGCAAAGCTTAGTAGCAGATCGCATCGTGATTGGCCGTCTCTACTAATTCTTGGTAGCAGGAGGCCTCGTGATTGGTTGACACTACCAAGATTTTGTCAGTCTCACAATCTGAAGGTCGTGAGTTCGAGTCTCACACGGGGCATATCTTTTCACTTTTACAACGTTGGAATGCTTTGGAATCATCCATGGCGCGCCGCACACTAGTCCACCATCGATCTCATCAAACCCATCGACATTAATATGATCAAACCCCATATTAGGGTTCCACTCAGAGTGTGGAACATGTGTTCGACTTTTAAACTCAGATGAAGGCAACGGGACTTCTTTGGTTATTGGTTAAACCAAAGAATTTCAGTTCAGCATGTGGACGTTAACGCTGAACTAAGAGCTGAATAAGGAGAAAATGATGAAGGACACGCACACACGCACACACGCACACACACACACACACACACACACACACACACACACACACAGAGAGAGAGAGAGAGAGAGAGAGAGAGAGAGAGAGAGAGAGAGAGAGAGAGAGAGAGAGAGAGAGGATTAAATTTAGGATCCATTTTTCCACCATACTTGAGAAAAGGAAAGATTATATTAAAATCAGATCAATTAAACATTTTAATTCCATAATCATGGAAATAAACACATTAAAAACAGTATGCTATGATTTGGGGCCAACATTTACAGAGATAAATCTAAAATGATGAGCCAGATCTCTTGTCATCCTTGACTCTTTCACTACCTTACACACACGTGTGCGAACACACAAACAACTGTTTACCTGAATCCCTGGCCGATACTCCGCCACTGTGATTCGTCCATTGTTGCTGGAGGCGGGCCCTTTGTGATTGGCCAACCACCATGTAGCTCACGCAAAACTTGGTAGCAGGACGCGTCTTGATTGGCCGTCTCTACTAATTCTTAGTAGAATCTTGGTAGCAGGAGGCCTCGTGATTGGTTGACACTACCAAGATTTTGTGCAGCGCGTCAGTCTCATAATCTGAAGGTCGTGAGTTCGAGCCTCACACAGGGCGCTTTGTTATCATCCATGGCGCACACTAGTCGACCTAGCCTGGCAAGCCAGACTATATATGTGAATATATATTCATACTTTGTAAAACAAGAATTTGGTCTAGTTCACTACTAGGCTATAGTCGACCATCGATCTCATCAAACCCCATATTAGGTTCCGCTCAGAGTGTAGAACCTGTGTTTGACTTTTAAGTGCTCAGATAAAGGCAACTGGGTTAAACCAAAGAATTTCAGTTCAGCAAGTGGACGTTAACGCTGAACTACTCCTCTCTGCCCACGTATATAGTCATTTTAAGAGGGAAAAATATGAGAAAGCTAAAGGTAGCATACTGAATTAATGATTTATTTGTTACTACAGACGTACATTTAAGACCCTTTCTCTGGATTTTTTGACCATATCCTATGTTCATATAACTTTTTTAATTGATGCATATTTTGGCATTGTTTGTGGTGTGTATCCAGGCTGTTCCACAGTTTCACCCTCATGTAAGGAGACACAAATTAATATAATGAAAATATAAAAAAGTGAATGAAAAAAAAATACTGATGCTTTTAGAATAATTTAAAAAATGCCAGGATTTACCAGCACCTGTCATGTGTTTGCTATTCACCTGTGTCTGGATTGGAAGCTGTAAGGAGAATTTTTACATACAAATGTATGTGTAGGCTGCTGAACCAGAAGCGTCCTCTGGTTAACCACATCGACATGTCATCCGGTATACAACATACAACCACAGAGCGTTTTGTTCCCAAGAATTGGAAGCGACGGGTTCGTTGGCCAATCACAGAAGGTCCTCCTCCAGCAACAACCAATAACAAATGTTCCCAGGTCTGCCCACAAGGTGTCCGCATGTACTGTCCTTTATTATCGGGTTAGGTCGTTCTTGACTTGGTTTAGCCATTTTTAAATTGAAAATTCAGCGATGTCATTCGGTGAGTTTCTTTCTTGTATCATTTTATAAAATTTTTGTTTCTTAACTTACTTATATATTCTGTTTAGTTAGTTTAGTGCTCATTCACAGTAAACATTGCTGGCAAAACAGCAGAGACAAGTCATCTCTATGCCTTTCTTCAGCTCAGAAACTAAACCAGGTGATTTCAATCAGCACGGTGAATTAACCCATTGATTTGCTGAGCAGAACAAAAACACGGCATGGATTAGACTTGTTGACGCCAATGCCATAATTCCCATCTCTGCAAAACAGCATACATGCAACAAATCACTTCAGTACGAAAGTTGGGGAAAAAAAGATTTGCTGATGTGACTGCTTTTTTCAAATCCTCATCCGCGCATAGACATCTGAAACACCCCAAATTGCACGTTACCAAGAATTACTTCGTTTAAAAGTGTTAATTTAATTGCAATACACGACTGTTCAGCACATTCTTCGCTGAAGACGTATAGAAATGCGATGTTCGATTAAAAGAAGGTTCCCAATCCATCTCTGCTGTTCAGAGCTGTTCTTATATACCCTTCCTGGACCAGCTTAAGGTCATGGGGTCATTTACCAGATACACACTTTGTAGCTCAACACAAAACATTTGGTGTCATTTTCACTACATGCAGCATTCTTCTTAACACAGGTCATTACATCATCTTTTGCAGCATTCTTCAGTTTCTCTCCAATGTTCCCGAGAAGGCTTCTGGATCTGATGGGCTTGTCTTCACTCTGTTCTCCTCCAATCCCATCTTTCCAAGCCAGGGGTGGGGCAAAGAGGTGGGGTCAGTCTCCTGACCCTTCGCCCAGTTCTGTCCTCTTGTCCCTGTGACCCTTGAGTGACCCTTGTTTCTGACCACAGTTTTTTTGACCTGCAGCCCAGCTCCTGTCGACTGGCTGATTTTGCTCGCACAAGCCAGTCCAGTATGGCTCACCTTTTGACCCCGTACTTGCCACTGTCTTTGGCATGTGGGACTCGCAACACCGGTAACTGAGAGGCTGGCGCTGCTTACTGAGAAGTAGCACCTTTACCGGCGTCACTACTAGATATGCTAGGGACTAGCAGTCCTCGGCTGGTCATTGACTGGATCTCACACTCCCTCTGCTGTCTATTAGCATGGATAGGCTAGCGTTAGCCTGGACAGGCTGGTGTTAGCATTAGCATTAGCGTGCTTAGGCTTGCCACTAGCTGGATTTCCTACCTCCTTGACGGACCATTAGCATGGATAGGCTGGCATTAGCATCTGAGAGGCTAGCCATTAGTATGTCTCGGAGAGTCACTAGTCAGCTAGTGGCCAGCCTAGGCACGCTAATGGCTAGCCTCTCCAAAGGAAGTGGCTGGATTGGAATAAAAGAAGGGACAGAATAGGTGGGACCAGATGAGGTTGCTGGTGGAAAAATTTCCACAGACAACTGTCCTGTGTTCTGAGGCTGAGGTGGGCACTGTGCTCTGACTTTTTCACTTTCAGTTTTGCTGTTCCAGCCGTGTCGGGATGAAGGACGAAGGTGTGTGGTTTGTGTGATGGAGCAGGTTGAATGGCTTTGTGCTGTGGTGCTGACTGGTATCACCGGAAATGGCTGGCTTTGGTGCCAGAATGCCCTGTTCAAGAATGTCTTTCTCCTGTGTCTGGGTGCGTCTGCAATACCTGCATAAGAAATAAATAGAATAGCTGATTTAAATTTCAAGTAATAATGTTCTTATTGATTATTGATATTACAGATTCTGTGATGTTTGTGAAATACAAACCAACTAATATTCTGTCCTGTTTTTAAAGTCACTCAGATTTTATCACTGAAGTAACAAATAGTTTGTCATATCCCAGCAGTCATGTAGTTGTTGGCTTGCCTCTCTCTCTTCTGATTCTCATCTTCTTCATTTTCTCTCCAGCAGAGGGGTCCCTGGCACCAGTCCCAGTCTCTGTAGCTGAGTCTCATCTACTGATCTGAGAGGCCAGTTGGTTAGTCATTACAGTAAAATCAGAAAACTCTCAAGTACTCTGCAGTCAACTAACTTTCTGTTCACTCATGCTTCCAGAGGAACGCTGATGCAGACTGCATTACCTACCCATCTCAGCTGGAAACCCCCTCTTCCAATCCGATGGTGATTCCTGCCACCACTGCCGGGTCACACAAGGACACTGTAAGCCATCCTTTGACCCCTTTAAAGATTACAAATAATTTTTGGATCCATCTGTTATGATTCGCCCATTTTTGTGTTTGTTTAACCCTGTTCTGTTATTTTGTTCAGGTCAGCTGCAGCTCCTCTCAGGAGCCCTCCCCTTCCCTGTGAACCTCCTGGAGTGCTGCAGCTGAACCACATCACCATGATTGCCCTCACACTATTTCAGGCCACTGCTGCCAGTCCTCAGCGTGGAGTTGTCTCACCTAGTTGTTTGTGGATCGATTTTGGTTTATGTTTTTGGTTCCCACAGTCAGTGCAGGAAGTTTTGTTATTAAAACACTTTTTGAACTCAGATTAATGACCGTTATTTCTGCGGTTCCACCCAAGTGTCAGACCCAGCAGGAAGAACCCGGAAACAAGACGCTTCCTTCCTTAACCTGCCTCTGGTGAAGGTGCAACAGGAGAAGCCAGCCTTCCTGTTTTGACCCAGGAGCTCCGCAACTGCATGTCTGGATTGCAGCAATTACATGGACGTTTAGCCAGACTGGAGCAAGCGCTTACTCCGCCTCGACAGGTCCGTTTGGGTTATCCTGAACCTTTTGCTGGTACCGCAGAGGATTGTCGACCATTCCTCACCTCCTGTCGGCTCCATTTTGACTTTAACCCAAGCGAATTCCCCTCAGAGCAGCAGAGCAAGGTGGCTTTTGCTTTGAGTTTCCAAGAGGTGGGGGCTGGCTGAGTGGGATCGAGGAGCGGAGGTGGTTCGTTCCTTCAGGGCCTTCTCCACTCAACTCCTCGTGGTGTTTGACCGTTTGACCCCTCCACGCCGCACCGCGCGGCTGCTTCTGGGCTGCTCCGGCTCAAACAAAGAGATGACAGCGTGCCGTCCTATGCAGTGAGGTTCCGGACGCTGGCGGCAAGCTCCAGCTGGCCTGATGACGCACTGGTTGTTGTCTTCCTTCAGGGGCTCTCCAGCGTGCTCAAGGACTAGCTAGCCGCGAGGGAGGTTCCTGAGGAACTGGAGGCTCTGATCTCCCTTCTGCTGACATGCTCCGGTCTTCGTTCCACCTGGCCAGGCCATCCAACAGATACGCCTGAAGAAAGATGTCACTTGCCAGTGTTCCTGAAAAATATTCATAAATATGTTTAAATGGGTTGTGAACATGAAGAAAACCCCATGGAGAAGTGTGTGAGGACAAAGTGCTTTTCCCTTACCAGGAATAAACCTGTTCATGTGCAGGTGGAAGCACTCGAGGGAAGTGGAGCCTCTCGCACGCCGATATGTTTCCAGAACGTGCCCCCCTTCCTTTATGGTGCCAGTCTCCATGTACAGGAGTACTCCTGGTGGGTCCTGCAGACAGCTGAGGTGCTTCTTCTGAGCCTTCCATATCTCTGCCATTCTCTCCAAGTTGATGAGTGGAACTCCCAATGAGCTGCATCCTCTGTGCCCGCTGTAGGCCTCAATCAGTTCCGAAATCAAGGTCTCCATCTCTGAGCTGCTTCTTGTTGTCCTTTTGCAGTGACGTGCCATCTCAGCTCTGCTGATGTTTCGCAGCAGATCTGTGGGGTGCACCAACTTGGCCTCCAGTTCAGCTCGCTTGGCTTCCTTTAGAGCTTGTGGCTCCGTTTGTTCATGAAGCCGGCATAAAGTGGATGAGAGTCGGTGGCGCAGCCCACTGCTGTCCTCATGAAGTGCCAAATGTCCAAGCAACTGTTGGTGTTTTGCCACGCCCTGATCATTTTGTGGCTATGATTTGGGGCCAACATTTGCAGAGAATCTAAAATGATGAGCCAGATGTCTTGTCATCCTTGACTCTTTCACTACCTTACACACACGTGACACGTGCGCGAACACACAAACAACTGTTTACCTGAATCTCTGGCCGACGCTCCGCCACTGTGATTCGTCCATTGTTGCTGGAGGCGGGCCCTTTGTGATTAGGCAACCACGATGTAGCTCACGCAAAACTTGGTAGCAGGACGCGTTGTGATTGGCCGTCTGTACTAATACTTAGAATCTTGGTAACAGGAGGCTTCGTGATTGGTTGACGCTACGAAGATTTTGTTCATCCTGTGCGAGGCTGCGGGTTCGAGTCTCGTTCGGAGCATTTTTGACACCTTAATTACCAATGCTCCGTGAACGATGTAGGCTTTTAAAAAAATAAATTTCAAGCAAAAGTAAACGCATAAAAACACGATTAAATGAGGTTTAATATAAGTCTACACTTCATGTCTATTTACATGCCAATGAAATAAAGATGCCAGTTTCCTGAACCTCTGACTCTTAATTACTTTGAAAATCTTCTATGGCAATGAAAACATCCTCATTCCAGGGGTTTTAATTTTCACCTTTTCAGATCTATCTACTCACCTTGACTGAACCAAAATATAATACAATCTACCATAATTCAATTAATTCTAACTCAAAATCACAACAGTGTACACAGGCCCTTCATTTTGTTTCCATGTCCTCCTACATCTGCAAATGAAATCACAGAGAGAGATGAAACCTTTGGAGGATTTCTGAGCTGCAATCTGTAGTTTTCTTGATTAAAATTAAAAGACAAACCTTTTTTCTGCCCGTCAGGATATGAACTTACTGTGTTCACCAGAACCTTTACCATTTGAGACCAACAGGACAAATTTTGGTTGGTTTAATTTAAAAAAAAGAAAATACAAAAACTCACACTTGTTTATTTAAAAGACAGAAAAAACAGGAAAAAACAAACAGTAATCACACAAACATCAAAAATGGAAAAAATGAAGCCATTTACATTTAAGGTTGTTTTTTTTTTTTTACCATAGCCCCACGTGCAGCCATTTCAGCTCTCCAGTCTTCAAAAGACTGGTTTGCAGTCTCTTCACAGTACCAGTTCCCAAAATACTGTTTATGGTAGGATGGCTTTCTTTCTTTTTGGCACTTTTAACTAATGTATCTGGGTTTTTTTTTTTTGTTTTTTTTTTACATATTTCCGTGTGTGTAGTCCAGCCTGCTCCTTTTTTCCCCCTTCCTCTTCCTGTACTGCTGTGTGGTGTAGGGTACATGTGGTGTCTGGCTTTTAGGTGCTGATGGCCCAGCCACAACAGGGTACACTGGCACAGAGGGAGTCGGAGCACAGATAAACTGTGGCAGGATGGGTTGAGGAAGTGGCTGGATTGGAATAAAAGAATGGACAGAATAGGTGGGACCAGATGAGGTTGCTGGTGGAAATTTTCCACAGACAACTGTCCTGTGTTCTGAGGCTGAGGTGGGCACTGTGCTCTGACTTTTTCACTTTCAGTTTTGCCGTTCCAGCCGTGTCGGGATGAAGGACGAAGGTGTGTGGTTTGTGTGATGGAGCAGGTTGAATGGCTTTGTGCTGTGGTGCTGACTGGTATCACCGGAAATGGCTGGCTTTGGTGCCAGAATGCCCTGTTCGAGAATGTCTTTCTCCTGTGTCCGGGTGCGTCTGCAATACCTGCATAAGAAATAAATAGAATAGCTGATTTTAATTTCAAGGAATAATGTTCTTATCGATATTACAGATTCTGTGATATTTGTGAAATACAAACCAACTAATATTCTGTCCTATTTTTAAAGTCACTCAGATTTTATCACTGAAGTTAACAAATAGTTTGTCATATCCCAGCAGTCATGAAGTTGTTGGCTTGCTTCTCTCTCTACTGATTCTCATCTTCTTCATTTTCTCTCCAGCAGAGAAGTCCCTGACTGTTACGTGCAGTGCCCCTTTTTGGCCACAGGATGGCGTCAGCGGCCTTCTGCTTTGCCTGTCTCCCGGTGAACAGGTGTTTATGATTATTCATAATCATGTATCAGCTGTTAAAAGCTGCCCTCTTGCCCTGATTCAGTGAGAAGATCCAGGACAGTGCAGACTGGGAACAGTTTGGCTATTCTCTTCTCCTCGTTCGCTAGTTCGGTAAAACTCGTCATAGTTTGTCTTCGGTGCTCTCGGTTTTGGATTTAAAATTGTGACTATTTGGCTTGTAGACTTCGGACCGCCATTTTGACATTGAATTTAGGATCTCCCCTTTGGTGTAAATATTATTATTCTCGGTTTTCTTCCCACCCCCTTCTGGGGTGGCGCTTTGCGTTATTTCCCTTTTAAACATAGCTCCTTTTGTTTTGTGTGTATAGTATTTGGTCTTAGGTTCTTTGCAAATATCCATTTTGTAATAAAGATTCTTGTTTTAAGTGACGCATCACTCAGATTATTATTTAACCCACACACCACTTTTATTACTCCCCTCCTCATCTCTCCTAGAGAGCCGGGGACGTAATCCTGGCACCAGTCCCAGTCTCTGTAGCTGAGTCTCATCTACTGATCTGAGAGGCCAGTTGGTTAGTCATTACTGTAAAATCAGAAAACTCTCAAGTACTCTGCAGTCAACTAACTTTCTGTTCACTCATGCTTCCAGAGGAATGCTGATGCAGCATAAGACTGCATTACCTACCCATCTCAGCTGGAAACCCCCTCTTCCAATCCGATGGTGATTCCTGCCACCACTGCCGGGTTACACAAGGACACTGTAAGCCATCCTTTGACCCCTTTAAAGATTACAAATAATTTTTGGATCCATCTAATCTTCACCCTTCTCTCTCACCCCCCCTGAGCAGACCGTACCTCCAGTGGAGTGAGCGCTACAAGTGAATTATTACCCCACTGATCCTCCTGTGGAGTACTATTTGTGTATCTCGCTTGTGAATAAAACTTCTTTAAATTATTCTGTTTGTCTCTGGGTCAGCTAATTTGAGTCCATCATTATCCATCATGACACAGTTTTAACTCACCACTGTGTGAGGGTTGTTTTGTTGACCTCTAGTCTCCTCCATGATGGTGAAGTTGTTCAGGATGCACGCTCTAATGTGCTTGTAAGCACGAATGATGAGGGTCCACCTTGAAAATGCCACACCTTCCACTCTCTTTGGGTTTGGGTAAGCCATGCAGAGCTGGACAAAAATGGCCTCAACAATCTGGCCACTGTCCAGGAATGCGTGCTCAAGAATAGCTCCTAGGAGGACAAAGGCAAGAAAAATGGACTCAGCCAAGATCTGTAGAAGAATATGCATCAGTGGCTGAACAGCTGTGACCAACATACCGTTTTGTCGACTCCACGCCTGGTGCAACGATGCTCTACGGCCTTTGTTCAGGGTTGTTTGGTGGCGTGGAGAAAAAACGGTGCGCTCCTTGTCGTGCTCTGACAATCTCTTCCAAAGAGCAACAATGTTATTGGACTCTTCAAGGGTGAGAGCCAGACTGTGCTCTCTCAGATTGAAGAGTGCTTCAGCCAAATCCTGCACAGCTGTGAAAGCTTCGGTGTTGTCGGGGCCAACGGAGTCCTAAATGATACGTTTGTTACGTACTTATATAAAAAAAAAAGGGCAAAAGTAGCCAAATCATATCTAACTTACCTGTCTCCTTGATGTCCCTGGAATAGTGTCATCAGAGTGGAAATAAGGCAGCCTTGATGGAGATGCAACACACACACACACACACACACACACACACACACACACACACACACACACACACACACACACACACACACACACACACACACACACACAGGTTTATAGAACAAGAGTAATCAGTAACCCAGTTTTAAAGTCACTTATGTCACTTTACACAATAAAAAAAACATCTTGACTTTCCCATTTATGTGATATTTGGGCATGAACATCCCTCACTTTCTTCCAGTGCATCCACAGGAGCATGTTTAACTTCCACAGATGCTATCTCTAGGAAGGGTTCAGACGTCATCTGAACAGGCAGGCTGAGGAGTCTGGAGCATGGTTTCCAAAATGGGAACTGTGAGATCCACAAAACCCTCAGACTCTTCAAAGCCCTCATCTTCTGCCACAGCTACGTCTTCTGTCTCCAATGCTGCAGTTGCCGCTCTGCGGTCCTCAAGAACATCTCCTGTTTGGTCGTGGAGATCCTCGACCCCAATGAGTTCCCCTGAAAGCAATCAAAAATCAACTTTAACTTTAATTAACATTTGTTTTAACTTTAACTCACTGTCATGACACAATTTCAGCAAACAAACACATTGTTGACTTTTAATTAGCTAGCATGAAATATTAATCTAATCAGAGCTTGGTCAAAGCTGAACTCCGTCTCCTCTGACTGGTGCATCAGCTCTGCTAACACACCTGTGTACGCCTGTGGCCCTGTGTAATTCACACAGCTCTTCTCGAGGACTTCCTGTGACAGCTGGTTTGCAGCATGCCTCAGGAGGCCGCTGTAGGAGTGAGGCTCTGATCTTCCTTCTGCTGACATGCTCCGGTCTTCGTTCCACCTGGCCAGGCCATCCAACAGATACGCCTGAAGACAGATGTCACTTGCCAGTGTTCCTGAAAAATATTCATAAACATGTTTAAATGGGTTGTGAACATGAAGAGAAACTCATGGATAAGTGTTGAGGATAGAGTGCTTTTCCCTTACCAGGAAAAAACCTGTTCATGTGCAGGTGGAAGCACTCGATCCGAAATCAAGGTCTCCATCTCCGAGCTGCTTCTGGTTGTCCTTTTGCAGTGACGTGCCATCTCAGCCCTGCTGATGTTTCGCAGCAGATCTGTGGGGTGCACCAACTTGGCCTCCAGTTCAGCTCGCTTGGCTTCCTTTAGAGCTTGCAGGTCATGGTCATCTCACATGAAAATGCAGTGGCTCAGTTTGTTCATGAAGCCGGCATGAAGTGGATGAGAGTCGGTGGTGCAGCCCACTGCAGTCCTCCTCATGAAGTGCCAAATGTCCAACCAACTGTTGGTGTTTTGCCACGCCCTGATCATTTTGTGGAGATAAGACCCACAGCAGTCCCGGTCGACATACAGCACTTCAGGAGGCGACACTCCTGCATCGTGGTAGCGCTTAATGACTCCCTCAACCATCTTGCCTAACCCATGACCTTCACTCACTGCGAGTACAGACATGATGATCTGGCCGTGCTCGTTCCCCATGTTTGCGGCCCGTGCTGCCGTTCCACGGCTGTGTCCTGCCAGTTTCCTGACAGTTTTTTTGGTGGAGTCTATTTTCAGGACACGCCCAAAGGTTGACATGATTGAAGCCTTGATTTCCTCTAACCTGCTCAGCACATCCTGCGCGTAGACTCGCATCAGCCAGCGGCATTTCGGAAAAGTCAACAGCGTTGGCAGTTCTCCAAGATTCAGAGGCTCAACCAAACCTGTGGATGCAGCTCTGGCAAAGCCTCTCTGGTGAGACATGAAATGAATGGACTTCTGAAGCCATGTCTCTGCATGCCGCTCCTCCAGCTGTTTCTGAAGTTGGCTGCTGCTGTTTCCAAGACCCCTCCGTCTCATCTGGCGGACCACTCCCACGTCACATCCGAGTTTGGATGTGAGAAGACAGGGAAAGTGGATCTGATGTCCTACATCTAGCTGAGACACAATGTCTTTGCTCCAGCTGACGACTTGGAGGCAGGCAGAGTACTTGGCAAGGGTCAGGCGTGGAAACGAGGTCAGGAGGCTATGATCAGGCAGGATGAAACAGGCTGGGAGATTTACTAGCAGAAGCGTTCAATAATGTGGCCGAGTGCTGGTGGCTGACTGAGGAACATATAGCTGGTGAGGCAGGTGTGTGGCATGAGCTTGATGGTGAGTTGACTGTGGTTGCTGGGGAAACAAGGCTTGGCTGGAGCTTGATGAGGGGACCAGGTGAGATGCAGGAAGGCTGATGAGGTGGTAGCATGGAGGTCAGGACCTGGCAGGATCAAGACAGGGGAACAAGTGGTGGGTCAGGAGGGTGCCACCACTGTTTATCCAGCTTCAGGAGGTTGAGTTCTGGTTGTCCATTCCTGGACCATTTGAAGAGCGCTTTGGAAATCCACCGCTGATCTTCCACTGGCAGCGCTGGAATCCATTTAGCAGGAGGACAGATTTTCCTCTCTGTAAGCAAGTGTTTTGAGATAAAAACACAAAAATAAAAAGTAAACATCTGTCATCAAATACTGTCAATATCTCACATAAATCTAAAATATCTGTCAAAGTTAACATTAATATTTTTGATTTAAACACAAAATTGTATAACCTACGTGTCATTTCTGACTCCATCTGATCTGCTGCAGCAACCACCTCACTGTCGGGCACATCACTAGACACAACACAGGTCACATCTGGAACAACTGGACAAATATTTTTAGGATTAAATTTAGGATCCATTTTTCCACCATAGAAAGATGATATTAAAATCAGATCAATTAAACATTTTAATTCCATAATCATGGAAATAAACACATTAAAAACAGTATGCTAGGATTTGGCGCCAACATTTACAGAGATAAATCTAAAATGATGAGCCAGATCTCTTGTCATGCTTGACTCTTTCACAACCTTACACACACGTGCGCACGCACACACACATACATACACACTTCAGCTGCGTACGACTCTGATAAGCACTTTTACTAAGGTTCAATATTCTACAAACAATAGTAATCGAAAAAAATGAATTCATTCATTCATTCATACATGAACAAAACTAATAAAAAGCTTATAGCTTATAGCCTACTGGTATAAGTATAGCGATTCATTAAATAACATAACGTTACGTTTTCCCAGTAAGATAGCTAATACAGTTGTAATTTTAACCATTCAAAACCTTTCACAACGGTACAAGTACGAAACTTACCGCAAGCTACCTCTGATTTTCTAAAACAACAAAATGGCGAAACGTAAAGTTTCAGGTCCCTCTAACCTGTGGGGGAGTTGTTTTACCTGAATCCCTGGCCGATACTCCGCCACTGTGATTCGTTCATTGCTGCTGGAGGCGGGCCCTTTGTGATTGGCCAACCACCTTGCAGCTCAGGCAAAGCTTAGTGGTAGATTCTTGGTAGCAGGACGCGTCGTGATTGGCCGTCTCTACTAATTCTTGGTAGCAGGAGGCCTCGTGATTGGTTGATTCTACCAAGATTTTGTCAGTCTCACAATCTGAAGGTCGTGAGTTCGAGTCTCACACGGGGCATATCTTTTCACTTTTACAACGTTGGAACGTTTTGGAATCATCCATGGCGCGCCGCACACTAGTCAACCATCGATCTCATCAAACCCATCGGCATTAATATGATCAAACCCCATATTAGGGTTCCACTCAGAGTGTAGAACGTGTTCGACTTTTAAACTCAGATGAAGGCAACGGGACTTCTTTGGTTATTGGTTAAACCAAAGAATTTCAGTTCAGCATGTGGACGTTAAGCTGAACTAAGAGCTGAATAAGGAGAAAATGATGAAGGACACACACACACACACACACACACACGCGCGCGCGCGCACGCACACACGCACACACACACACACAGAGAGAGAGAGAGAGAGAGGATTAAATTTAGGATCAATTTTTCCACCATACTTGAGAAAAGGAAAGATGATTTTAAAATCAGATCAATTAAACATTTTAATTCCATATTCATGGAAATAAACACATTAAAAACAGTATGCTATGATTTGGGGCCAACATTTACAGAGATAAATCTAAAATGATGAGCCAGATCTCTTGTCATCCTTGACTCTTTCACAACCTTACACACACGTGCGCGAACACACAAACAACTGTTTACCTGAATCCCTGGCCGATACTCCGCCACTGTGATTCGTCCATTGTTGCTGGAGGCGGGCCCTTAACCACCATGTAGCTCACGCAAAACTTGGTAGAAGGACGCGTCGTGATTGGACGTCTGTACTAAATTTTGGTAGAATCTTGGTAGCAGGACGCGTCGTGATTGGCCGTCTCTACTAATTCTTGGTAGAATCTTGGTAGCAGGAAGCCTCGTGATTGGTTGACACTACCAAGATTTTGTTCATCCTACGGGTGCAGCTCCTCAGTCTCATAATCTGAAGGTCGTGAGTTCGAGCCTCACACGGGGCATGTCCTTGTCACTTCTACAACGTTGGAACGCTTAATCATCCATGGCGCACACTAGTCGACCTAGCCTGGCAAGCCAGACTATATATGTGAATATATATTCATACTTTGCAAAGCAAGAATTTGGTCTAGTTCACTACTAGGCTATAGTCGACCATCGATCTCATCAAACCCCATATTAGGTTCCGCTCAGAGTGTAGAACTTGTTCGACTTCTAAGTGCTCAGATAAATGCAACTAGACTTCTTTGGTTATTGGTTAAACCAAAGAATTTCAGTTCAGCACGTGGACGTTAACGCTGAACTACTCCTCTCTGCCCACGTATATAGTCATTTTAAGAGGGAAAAATATGAGAAAGCTAAAGGTAGCATACTGAATTAATGATTTATTTGTTACTATCAGCGTACATTTAAGACCCTTTCTCTGGATTTTTGACCATAGCCTATGTTTATATAACTTTTTTAATTGATGCATATTTTGGCATTGTTTGTGGTGTGTATCCAGGCTGTTCCACAGTTTCACCCTCATGTAAGGAGACACAAATTAATATTATGAAAATATATTTAAAAAAAGTGAATGAAAAAAAATACTGATGCTTTTAGAATAATTTAAAAAATGCCAGGGTTTACCAGCACCTGTCATGTGTTTGCTATTCACCTGTGTCTGGATTGGAAGCTGTAAGGAGAATTTTACACACAAATGTATGTGTAGGCTGCTGAACCAGAAGCGTCCTCTGGTTAACCACATCGACATGTCAACCGGTATACATACAACCACAGAGCGTTCTGCTACCAAGAATTGGAAGCGACGGGTTCGTTGGCCAATCACAGAAGGTCCTCCTCCAGCAACAACCAATAACAAATGTTCCCAGGTCTGCCCACTAGGCGTCCGCATGTACTGTCCTTTATTATCGTGTCATGTCGTTCTTGACTTGTTTATCATGTCGTTCTTGACTTGGTTTAGCCATTTTTAAATTGAAAATTCAGCGATGTCATTCGGTGAGTTTCTTTCTTGTATCATTTTATAAAATTTTTGTTTCTTAACTTACTTATATATTCTGTTTAGTTAGTTTAGTGCTCATTCACAGTAAACATTGCTGGCAAAACAGCAGAGACAAGCCATCTCTATGCCTTTCTTTAGCTCAGAAACTAAACCAGGTGATTTCAATCAGCACGGTGAATTAACCCATTGATTTGCTGAGCAGAACAAAAACACGGCATGGATTAGACTTGTTGACGCCAATGCCATAATTCCCATCTCTGCAAAACAGCATACATGCAACAAATCACTTCAGTACGAAAGTTGGGGGAAAATATTTACTGATGTGACTGCTTTTTTCAAATCCTCATCCGCGCATAGACATCTGAAACACCCCAAATTGCACGTTACCAAGAATTACTTCGTTTAAAAGTGTTTATTTAATTGCAATACACGACTGTCCAGCACATTCTTCGCTGAAGACGTGTGGAAATGTGATGTTCGATTGAAACAAGGTTTCTGAATCGAGTGTCTCAACCGGGCCAGTGGCGCAATGGATAACGCGTCTGACTACGGATCAGAAGATTCTAGGTTCGACTCCTGGCTGGCTCGATCTTTTTCGCTAAGTTGGTAGTGGGCCTGCGACAAGTTAACTAACGCTACTAAAAAGTGGGATAGAGGACGCTTCTGGTTCAGCCTACACATACATTTGTGTGTAAAAATTCTCCTTACAGCTTCCAAAACAGACACAGGTGAATAGCAAACACATGACAGGTGCTGGTAAATCCTGGCATTTTTAAAATTATTCTAAAAGCATCAGTATTTTTTTTCATTCACTTTTTTTTAAATATATTTTCATAATATTAATTTGTGTCTCCTTACATGAGGGTGAAACTGTGGAACAGCCTGGATACACACCACAAACTATGCCAAAATATGCATCAATTGAAAAAGTTATGTAAACATAGGATATGGACAAAAAATCCAGAGAAAGGGTCTTAAATGTACGCCGATAGTAACAAATAAATCATTAATTCAGTATGCCACCTTTAGCTTTCTCATGTTTTCCCCTCTTAAAATGACTATATATGTGGGCAGAGAGGAGTAGTTCAGCGTTAACGTCCACTTGCTGAACTGAAATTCTTTGGTTTAACCCAGTTGCCTTTATCTGAGCACTTAAAAGTCGAACACAGGTTCTACACTCTGAGCGGAACCTAATATGGAGTTTGATGAGATCGATGGTCGACTAGTGTGCGCCATGGATGATTCCAAAGCGTTCCAACGTTGTGAAAGTGAAAAAGCAATGCCCCGTGTGAGGCTCGAACTCACGACCTTCAGATTATGAGACTGACGCGCTGCCTACTGCGCCAACGAGGCATATGATGTTCTCGGTGAAGTGGAAAATTTTGTCAAAATTTTCTCTATTCCAAAAATTTTTTTTTTAATCCGAGCACCGAATCTGTAAATCGCACGTGTGTTGTGTCTTTTGTTTTTATATTCTAGAAACTGTAGGATGTCCGTTTGAACAGGCATGTTACTTGCAAACGCTGGCTTGACATTACACGCACAGTGATATTTGCTGCGGCCCCTTTAAATCCAATCTCCCGCGTTCCAACATAAGCGGAAACAGAATAGCTTCTTTTCTCCATTTAAGCGCGCCAACAAAGACTGTTGAAGCAGGTCTGGCGGTTTATCGTCTTCTGCCAGTCGCTCAGTTTTCGGCCTCTTCGCTGTCCTTCTATCAAAATGCCAGAAGAAACGTCCACCGCGTCGTGCTCTGGGAGGTAAGCGTCGTTTGTAATTGTTCAATGAAGACAACAGCGCATGTAGAGGAAGGACGTTAGCGAAATTTTAGCCAAAGCGTCCGATGCATTGGTACACAGCACATACTTAAATAATATTGACCTTTATTGTAATAACGCAAACGTGCCGTTGGACACGAAAGCTCGCCGTGTGGTTAGTGGCAAGTAGCTCCAAATGCTGCTATCGCGAACAAGAAAGCTAGCTGGCTAACAACCACAAATGCTAACAACAACAAGGCGTGCTGGTCGGAACTAAAAGTTTGCTTCCAGAGCAAAGTCGGACACATTGTGTTGGGTTTTAACTGAAGTTTGTTTCCCTGACAGTGCTGAAGAGAAGCCGTGTTCGTCAACAGCTGCAGCAGAAAAGTGAGCGCACGTGTTTTTACTAACTTTATTCCCACCAGCGCACCGAGAAGATAACATCTTAACAGTTTCTGCTTTTTCTCTCGCTGTAGCTCAGCTGATGTCATGGAGGAGGCAAAGAAACTGATTGGCACAGGGAAACGGCATCTAGTGATGGGGGATGTAGTTTCTGCTGTTAATGTCTTCCAGGACGCTTGTGGCATTCTGTGAGTCTCGATTAAATTAATTTCACTGCTAATTGAACTGATTTTTCTTATTTAAATTCCTTCTGCATGTGGGATATGCCTTTTTATTTACAACTGTAGTTTTCTTGGACATTTTCTGTCACTTGTAAGGTACTAAATCCAGGTTGTCATGTGTGTGTGTGTGTGTGTGTGCAGGGCTGCAAAGTATGGAGACACTGCAGATGAATGTGGCGAGGCCTTCTTCCTTTGTGGGAAGTCCCTACTAGAGCTCGCAAGGTTTGTCACTTTTCTCCAGTGAATAATTAAAATACATGTTCTTAATGGTGCCATTTTAAGATTTCTAACTACTGATTAGTTTAAGGGATCTGCTACTTTCCCATACCCCTTTTAAACATGCAGGGGTGCATTTGCAACATGCACATTTCATTTTTACTCGCCAGTGGGGAGCAAGGCTGGCTGCAGACTTGGGCTGAGTTTTTGTAATGCTTCTGGTCAGGAGTTGGTCAAATCAAGTTGGATAAGAAAATAAATAAAATGGTGTTTTATGAAATTTCAGTTGCTAAAATGAATCTACCTGGCATTTAAAGTCTCTCTTTAATGTATCTTGTGTGTGTTCTTGACAGGATGGAAAATTGTGTCCTTGGGAATGCACTTGAGGGAGTCCCGGAAGAGTCGGAGGAAGAGGAGCAGCCCAAAAACCCGAACATTGAGAGTGCTGACAACCTTGATGGTCCGTAAACAATTGCGTTTTATTTATTTATTTTTGTTATGATTACTTTTCTATGGTGCTTCGGTTATTACAATCACTCTTACCTGGAGACAGACTCCTCCCCCTAGCCACAACAGACTTAATTAAATAAGTAACTTACTGAAAGAAGACGGCAGAAGTGGATCGGTAATCTCCGGCTTAAAACAGGAGCTGAAACTGAGTTTACAGCGATCGCTTTCTAACTGGTAGATTACTAAATGTTTTGACATTTTATTAAAGTTACTTGGAAACCGCCATAAAAACGGCAGGTAAAGAGTTTGGTGCTGTATTCACCTGTCCTCTATGCAAATGGCTTTCAGAGTGCTAATGTTTTAGCAGTTAGCTTAGTGATGTAAAGAGGCATTCATACCTTAATATCAAACGTGTCAGAAATTTGGGTTTTAAAGACATATAAAGTTAGTTGGATCCTAGCACACACTCATCGTTAGCATTAGCGATATCGTTATCAGTGGTTAATGAATTAAAACGGCACAACTGGCTACTTACCCAAGCAAAAACAAGACGACCGTCATTTAAAGCTTCTCCAGAACCCTTAAGCCGGGCGGGCACTGTGTGACTTTTTCACTCGTAGCACTCCGCTTCAGCTCAAACTGTACGACTTCCTCGCAGAGCAGATCTCACGAGTCATGCGCTCACACTGTACGTCTGGTAGCAACACGTCGGACCTGAAAATGTGCTAAAAATAGCAGTTTTTACACAACACGTCAGACTTTTTTCTTGCCTGTTGTCCTTGGGGAGTGCTGCAGGAGGACACACAGGGATTTATGGGGGTTGGATGAGGAAAACGAAATAAAAGAAAGTAAATCTGTGTTTTGTGATCAGTTTAATTTGACATGAACACGACAAACACGCTTTCTTGACAATCTTTGTGTAAAAAAAACAAAACAAAAAAAAAAGTGTAGAAATAAAAACGAACAACGTGTGTTATTAGGGAAATAGCGGACGAGCGGTGTTGATGCAGGATTGCGCATGCGCCGTGAGCGGTTCTGATACTTTTTGGGTCGCAGCTGCTCGCAGCGCCGCTTCAACAGTGCGATACCCTCACGAGGGACGAGCGAAATTTTAAGCACGCCAGAAGTCCGTGCGAGCTCACGATTGCTGATCGGCAGCTGGTCACGTGGTGTTAATCTCCTCTCGTAACCCCCTGTACACTACACGACCGCTCGGCTCAAAACTCGCCCCGATCTCGTGGATTCTCGCACGAGTGGAAAATCAGCTCAAAAAAGTGAGAAAGTCGCACAGTGTACGCCCGGCTTGCCACTAAAAGGTTAGCCAACCTGAAATAAAACAGCTGGGGAGCCAGCGATTGTTTTCTGATTAAAATTGGGGCATTCAGGCTTCAGCCCTGTTGCCGGCGCAGTACAACTGACCTTTTGTGTATTTGTATTAAACTGATGTCAGATGATCAATATGTGCAACTCTGGTGCAGAGGAAACCAGAGCAGAGCTGCGGAAGCAGGTCTATGACTCGATGGCAGAAGAGGCAAATATGGAGGCAGTTGGCCTAAAGCTGGAGTCCAAAGACGTGACGAGCAGCAGCCAGGTGGAGGAAGAGGCTGGTTCTGATGAACACGGCCTGACTGGATCTGAAGAGCCTTCAGGCTCCAGTGAAAATGAGGCCAAGAGTTCAGTCCAGCCGGGCTCGGATGCTTCTGCACAGGATGTGGGTGAAGAGTCTGAAGGACTAAACGCCAGAGAAGACCAAACCGAACCAGAAAAGCAAAACGATGCGGTATCTGTGGAGATGAAAGATGAGGAGTCTGATCCAGAGGCTGAAGAAGACGAGGGTAGTAGATCTATGGATACAGAGCACAGGGGTGGATGGGTCGGGCTGAACACTGGTTAATGCAGGTCAGGCGGTGAAGTAAAGGGACACGCTGAAGCACTTGGGTGGATCTGTTTACTAGTTTAAGCGTTCCCTTTATCCTATGTGTCCCGGAGTTAAAACCGTCTTTGTGTGTATTTTCAGATGATGATGATGACGACGAGGACGAAGAGGATGGAGAGAAAGCTGCTCAGGATGATGTCCGTTCCTCTGTGCTCCGTAGTGGTGGTTGGTTTGTTGTGTTGGTTGTAAACCTGGTCTTTACCCTGCAGGAGGAAGACGAGGTCGGGAACTTGCAGCTGGCGTGGGAGATGCTGGAGGTCGCCAAAGTCATCTTTAAACGGTGCGTGTTAATGCTGCGATGGATTTTAAAATTCCACGTGCAGCGTTTATTTGTCCTGCTCGCTAATCCTCTTCCCGTCTGCAGAAAGGAGAGCAAAGACGAGCAGCTGATGGCAGCCCAGGCTTATCTGAAACTTGGAGAAGTCAGCGCTGAATCCGGTGAGATTTGTAGTTCCAGAGCAGACTGTTTTTGTCTTTTAGTCCGGATCTGACCAGATTGTGTCCCCAGGGAACTATCCTCAGGCCCTAGTGGACTTCCAGGACTGTCTCGCCCTGCAGCTGACGCACTTGCCCCCCCACAGTCGCCTGCTGGCTGAGACCCACTACCATATCGCCACGACGTTTTGCTACATGGGCCACTACAGCCATGCCATTCAACACTACAACAGCTCCATAAAAGTCATAGAGACCCGTCTGGGTAGGACTCGCGCTTCCTCGTGAGGATTTCTATGATCAGAGCTCCTGTTTGAGGCCGTCCACGTTTCTTTGTGTGCAGCCATGTTGCAGGAGATCATTGACGCAGCAGAAGGAGCTGACGGTGCAACAGAAGAGAAGAAGGAGATGGAAGAGCTCAATCAGCTTCTACCGGACATCAGAGAGAGGGTGGTAGATGCCAAGGAGAGCATGAGAACAGCCAGCGCTGCCTCGCAGGCCATTCAGCAGACCCTAGTGAGTACAGACGGGTTAAAGCGGGGTTTGTCATGTAGCGGCGTGCCCTTCCTGTAGGAGCATGAGGGGTGGTCTGGCACGAGAGGCAGGAGAATCTGGGTAGCATCTTTTTGTGTGCTGGATCATTAAACCCCTCTGGTCACTAGGTGGCAGCAGCAAGGTCAGTCGCATTTATTTCTAAAGCACTTATTATTGCTTCTGCAACCCAAAGTGCTGTACAACACAAGATGAATCGTGAACAAGTATAACTAAAAACCATAAAAATCAGCAAGTTGAGATAAAAACAGCGTTGCATCAAAGAGAATGATGGTGACAAAATAAACATCTTACATAAAAGCCGGGTTGAATAAATGAGTTTTAAGCAAGGACTTGAAGACATCCAGACTTTGTGAGGTCCTGATCTGCAGAGGAAGACCGTTCCAGAGTGGGACCGGCCACAGAAAAAGCCCCGTCTCCTCTCGTCTTTAGGCGAGCCGTTGGAACCGATGACTAAAACTGAGAGCCCGACGCAAATTCCTGGCAGGAGTGTAGGGTGACCATAAATCATCCGTATAAGGAGGGGCCAGACCATGAAGCGACCATTTAAACTGAATCCTGCAATGCACTGGCAGCCAGTGAAGGGAAGCAAGCACTGGAGAGATGTGATCGTGCTTCCTTGCATTTTGAACCAGTTGCAAGCGGTTTAAGGCGGAATGCCCTAATCCATAGTACAGGGAATTGCAGTAATCTAGTCGACAGGAGACGAAGGGATGAATAACATGTTCAAAGACCGTTTCCGGCAAATAGCACTTAAGCTTTGCAAGCTGCCTCAAATGATGAAAACCAGACGGGACCACTGCACTTACCTGTCTGTCCAATTTAAACGAAGCATCCATAAAAAACCAGGTTTTTCACATAAGGCTTTACAAAATCCTAAAGGGAACCAAGTGGGCTCACCGCACCCTTCAACAGGTCTCCACTGCCAAAAACTAAAATCTGTCTCCAGGTCATTTCATAAAATTGATTGACATCCATTGCACTCAACATCCCATCTGTTTAACCCATAGACATAAATAAATATTGGACAAGCCGTGCCCAGTTTGGTCGTCACGCCCAGATAACCTGGGAGTAGGGCTGTGAGGGTGGAAGCCCGTAACTCAATAGATGCTCTAAATGGGTCGACATTTTCCCTGAATCATGGGTCGGGTGTGTCCTCATTGGCAAAGGCTATCCCGGGATTCCTTGCAGACCAGATTTTTGCTCTTGTAGTAATGTTTGACAAAGCGTGAGGATTACAGTTTTAAATGTAGTATGTTAACATCTGGCAGTACAAAAGAACTCAGGTTGTGGAATTGAGCTTATTGTTTGTTTATGTAAAATAAAAACTGTCTTTAAGGGCAACGCCTCAACTTCATCAACGCTCCCGTGTGAAAATGGAGGCCCTTCGTCATCATCGGCCTTTGCCGCACCCAGCCAGGTAACGCCGCAGCTTCCGCTTCTCCCCTTAACTCTACAACGGTCTACGTAATCCAGCTAAACTCGTTTCAGATTCCAGTCAAAGCGTGTGACGGCGCCTCGTCTTCCAAAGCCGTATCTGACATCTCTCACCTTGTGAGGAAGAAGGTAAAAGCTGCCCCCCCCCCCCAGTCACCAGTCCCAAAATGAGTACTTTTCTTTTTAATCTCTTAACTTTTAGCTTCTGTGGTAAATTTGCCCGTGATTGCGTGCTCTGTGCTGCTCGCCGTTTCATGTGGTGGCTGTAGGTCGTGATGGTTTGTGTCCTTCGGTGTGTGTTGTGGCTTTTATGACCGAGGTAGACGTGTTGCATGTCAGATTGTGTTGTGGTGCAGCTTGGAGTAAGGAGGGGGACATCTTAATAAATTGTATGATGCGTTTTTTTTTTTTTTTGACAAAGATTTCTTCTACATGAATGCTGTGTGCAGAAACCTTTAGCCTTCATCACTGCCTGGTTTTGTTTCTGCACAGAGAAAACCAGAAGAGGAGAGCCCAGTAAAGGACACAGATGCTAAAAAGCTGAAACAGGAAGTCGCTGTTAACGGCGGCGGCGGCGACTCTAGTGCCAGCCACAGCAAAGAAATCCAGGAGGAAAAATCTCAGGAGGCGAGTGATAGGCCCCTCGTAGTGACTCTACTACCAAAAGACTGGAGCTGTGCTGTGCTTTTGCTCCCCTTCGTGGCCGTTTACTCCTGTTGCCCTTACCTGAGCCATACTGAAGTAGCAGCATGCGATGGGCAAAACTTCCTGTTACTGTTTCACTAAGCTGTGTTGCTTTAAGATCAGTTTTCTATGTGTTGGCACCTGTTGAAGGTTACGTCAGCGCAGCCAGAGTCAAGTTTCCAGAAAATGACTTACTGTTGTGTCATTGTGCAAGTGACAAGTGACGCAGTGGCCATCAAAAGTAAATCTGCACTAGTGATTCATTAAGCTGGTGGACATTAACGTGTGGTTTCATTTCTCTTCTAGCCTGCTACCCAGTCGGCCTCTGTCGACTCATCAGCGTGATGGCCTTCTTCTTCTTCTTCCTGCCTCCTGAAACCAGCACAGCATGCCTGTCGGATCCACCGTTCACTTGTCTTGTTTCTGTAAATAAGTCCCATTTTCACAGATCTGTCACATTTTGTATACTTATAGAAAAAAATTAAAGAATTTGCAGATGAACATTTAGTGGCTTTTTCTTAATTATGCACTCCGAAGGTTTTGTTGCCTAACTAAGAGCAGCAGAAGAGGATGTGTGTGCTTTGGTTTATAACTTTGCTCATGCTATTTTTATATGTACCATGGTTAATGGCGTCCAGGTTGCACGGTAGCGCCCTCTGGTGGTTAATCTAGAACTGGGGTGAGATGGTATTACTGGGACAACGTAAAGCGTGTTTCTTTAGACAGGAGGGCTAAAAGGGTTACAGCAGTATCTTGTAGTGGTTGGGGACGTAATTAAATGCAGTGTGACTAAATCTTTTTCCCAGTTGATGCAGTTCTGGGAAAAACCCATTTGAGACGATTGCTTTATTTTCCTTGTCTCTTAATACATCAAACTGTTACGAAGACTAGTTTAATTTACTACACAGTAATCTAGTCAGATGTAATGGTAAAGTACTAAGTCACTAAAAATGAATCTAAAAGTCCTTTACAGGTCATGATCGGTGTTTTTTTTTATTTTTTATTTTAACTGTGTTTCACACATGTTCATATTACAAACACTGAAAGTTACCCAAGGAACTCTGAACACGCCCATGTTTTTCTAACAGCAGTGTGGTACAGAGCTGTAAACCCTTAATAACACATAACTAAATGTATCTACATAAATTAATACTAGACCTGTGTGTGTAATCTATTAAATGGTTAAATAACCTTTTGAAAAAACCTAAGCTTAACATTTTGAAATAGTTTTCATTCTTAAATTGTGCTTAAATAAAACTATGTAAGAGGGAATGTTTCTCCAGTAATGCAAATATTACTGAGACGTTTTTATTCAATTCTTTCAGTTTCTATTACGTCTTAAAGTCTGCTTTGTTTTTTTTCCAATGGCTGATGTATTATGACACTTATTAGCTGTATGTCAATCAAGACAAAAAGGGCGGAGTCAGTTTGTGATTGGCTGTTCATTCAGTCAGACGTAAGAAATTGCACACAAAGTATCGAATGAAACCTGATGGTATTTAGGCTAATCTCAATACTCGCCCTGCAGTCTTCAGCGAAGTGCACTTGGAGAAAGTGCACTGTAAGGCTTTAAGTATGTAGCACACAAGTGTGCAAATAAATGCAGAATTAAGACGGAGAGCATTGCGTCATCAACCGCAATGCATGCCGGGATTCTGGTCTCTGTGATATATTTTTTAAAAACCTTAACAACTTTCGAACAAACAATTATTTGAAGTGAATTTGCATTTATTTACTGCTTTGTCTAAAAGTTTCAGAGCATCAACTTATCGTCGTAAAATTAACAACTTTCATTAGAAAATACATTGGCCCAATCCCATTACTCGCACTTCATTTGCGCGTTCCCAGCCAGGGGTGCGAGTACGTAGGGTGTCCCGATTCTCAAGTGCAGAAGTTGTCCACGCCCCCATTGCACCCTTAATCTGCACTTCACCCAAGTCTGCAGCGATGCAGACCTCGGGCAAGGGTATGACCCACAAGTCGTTGCCGCAGGAGAAAGGCTCAAGTTCCTCTGCTGAAAATATGTATTTTTTAATTCAATTAGTTATTTTAGGACTATTGTTTGATGCTCTAAAACTTGTAGACAAAGCAGCAATAAATGTAAATTCATTTCAAATAACAGTTTGACTGTTTAGAAGTTGTTATTAAAGGTTTTTGAAAAAAGTATCACAGCGACCAGATTCCCGACATGCGTTGCGATCGGAACGCGACGCTCCCTGTCTCAATTCTGTAATTATTTTCACACTTGTGTACTACGCACTTGAACCCTACTGCGAACTTTCTCCAAGTGCACTTTTCTGAAGTCTGCTGTGTGAATATTGAGACTGGGCCATATTTTCAAAAAAGGCACTTAAGCTTTTTCTCCCGCAGCGATGAATTGTGGGTAATACCGAAGTCTGCAGCAATGCAGACTTTGGTGAAGGGCAGGTCAAGGGTGCAAAAGGGGCATGATCAACTTCCGCATTCGAGAATCAAGACACCCTATGCACTCGCACCACTCTGGTCGGGATCATGCAATTGAAGGGCACAAGGGTGGAAGTGCGAGTACTGGGATTGCGCCTAAGTACATACTCCTGTGCGCTAATTGGCGAGCCGATATCCAGGAAAATAAAACGATGTTTAACGATTAGCCAATGGTTTTGCAGATCACACCAACTAATTTTGACTGACAGCTGAAAAATGTCATTGTGAAATGATCAGCCAGTGGAAAATCAAAACAGACTTTGAAATAGAAGCACGTTATGTGATAAAAACTGAAGGAACTAAATAAAAATGTCTCAATAATAATTTGCATTATTGTTGAAAATGTCCATATGAAATAGTTTTATATTCAAAAGCACAGAAAGAAGCATGACCTCACAACTGCATTGATCTGAGGGACCATACTAAATCTTGCATCCAATTTCACCCCAAGACTGGTAACTCACCTGTTGAGGTCCAAACCTGGAAGAGTCGGAGCCACGGAAGTGCGAGAGGTTCCTGGGGTCAAAAAGAACAGCCTCAGTCTTTGACTCATTAAGTTTAAGGAAGTTAGCTGCCAGCCACCCACTCACATCAGAGAGACAATCTGTGAGCAGTAAATCTGCGTTTAGTTTATTCATTGCCAAGTATATCTGACAATCATCAGAGTAGATATGGTAGCCTATGCCGTACCGCTTGAAAATATTTCCCAATGGGAGAAGATCCTGAATATGGAGAACAGAAGAGGCCCCAGGACAGAACCCTGTGGCACCCCCAGGTCAACAGAAGGCAGAGAGAGGCACAGCCACCAATACACACACAAAAGGACCGAATTGCCAAATAACAATGGAACCAGCCCAGTGCAGGACCCGAAAGACCAACCCAGTATTACAGACGATCTAACAGGATTTGGTGGTTGACTGTATTAAAAGCTATTACTTTGTTCTTGTTTACACAGCTTAGGAAAAAAAATTAGTTTTTTACCTTACATGTTTCAGCTAATGAGCCATTATCAGAGTTCACCGATGGTGGCGTCACTTTTGTTTATCCATGGACATCTGCTGCCCGCGGATAAACGGAAGTGATGCCACCAACATTTCATCAGCCGAAACATGTAAGATAAAAGCTGTGTAAAACAAACAACAAAAAAAAACAACAACAAAAAAAAAAGGGATTATGAAGTTACACAGAGAACAAATGTACAAAAGTGTATCAAAAGCTGCAGAGATCTAACGGCAGCAGCAAATGCTTTTTATGTATCGGTCTTGTATGTTCTGCTTTAAATAAGGAACATTACATGTATTAGATTGTTAATCATTTAAGGTTAATGTCTATATGGACAGGGATTTTTCTAAACAAGCGATCCTTGAACGTCTTAAAAAAACTGTTTTGGTTTTTTCTGTTCACTCTGTTCCACACTCCAGTCCAGTAGGTGGCGGTAATGCACCTTTGTTTGCTAACCGCTAAAAGCTTTTAGAAAAGCAGTAAAAGAAGGAGGAGACGGGAAGCTGTAGTTAGCCCTATGTTTTGGTGTGTATCACTGATGCATACATAATCTATAATGTCTATGGGGCATTGGCATGAATAATGTATGCTTTGGTGTGTGTGAATATTTGAGGAGGGCAGAGATACGCATGCCATTCCCCATAGAAGAATATTCGAGGACCTTCATTTCAGTGTCTGGGAGAGAAACAGCGACTAACTGCTGCAGCTGCGATTATATTTTTACTAGGTTGGAAAAACTCAACAGAACCAGAGATCTTCTGCGGAGCTCCACAATAAGGTCAGCAGCAAATCTTTTCTACAGACTCCCCAGTCCTCTGATCTGCTGCTGTTTCTTCTGAGAACGGGCTCGTTTTGCCATGGTTTAACCGGGTCCACGAGGCTGAAGTTAGCTTCCGGTTCCAGCTTCCAATTCGGGAAACGGCTAAAGGGCCATTACACCCAATTTTTCTCTACTCTGACCATCTTTATTCTGCTCTAGTTTAAAAACGACTACACCCACACTCTTCTATGAGGCCAGAACAGTCTCAATAAGAATTAAGTCACACAACGTTTTCCACAAATGCACACATTCATTCGGAAATCCACATTCTGTGTTTCACAAATATAATTCGGAGGAACACAAATGCACACGCTCATTCGGAAATTCACACTCTTTGACTCATAAATATAATGTGAAAAAATAAGTCACGCAACATTTTCCACAAATGCACATGCTAATTCTGAAGTTCACACTCTGTGGTTCACAAATATAATTTGTAAGAACACTTGTAATATAAACTCAGATCGTACGAATTGCTGAACGTGCATTTACGAACAGCTTCTCATTTGTGAACCTTTCCGCGTTTGTGAGTGAAATCTGTGTGGTGCATTTACGAACAGCTTCTCATTTGTGAACCTTCCTGCATTCGTGAGAGAAATCGGTGTGCTGAATTTTGAGACTCTCCTAACGTCGCAGGTCAACAAACGTCACCATTGGCTAATGAACCTGTCAATCAAATATATGCTTCTGCCAGGGCTGTTCGCTTTCAGCCAATGGTTCCTTATGTTACAGAACAGATCTGCTGTGCGCATAAGTCGGACACAATTTCCTGCATGTGTAGCTCGGGGGTGACGATGGATGAAGATATCGCGTTAGCGTTCATACTTGTTCAATTTTCAATTTTAATTCTGGTGCCTGTTAGCAGCTGAAACCCATCCTCACATGCTTGTGGATATCATATATTGTATATGGAGACATGACTGTAATAATAAGTAAAGGTTAGCAGCTGTAGCTTCAGTGTGCTCATAGGAAACATGACAAAAGAACACAAATCACATTTCTCTTTATGGCCTATATAGTTGTCATCATCAACGTTACATGATTTACAGAATACATGTGACCAACTAACATTTCATGTTCTACCACCAGATGATTGGATCAAAATATGAACCAATCAGATCTTAGATCAGGTGAGAGCCAGGCGTTTCCCGTCATCCCCTAGGTTTAGCAGCCGAGGGAGAGCAACTGCAGCGCCTTGCTCCAAAATCTGCGGCCGCCTTGATCTCAAGTGGTTATCGTTGCCTACGTATGCATGACGTCAGAGCAAGTCGGCATCAAGTCGGACACAAATCTAACCGGTTACATTACCAACGCTCCACCATATGGGTGGCCTCTTAATAATCTTATTCAGAAAAATTATGCATTTTTACTAAGTGAAAGCAAACCCCGTTAGGGGCAGAGACCTCTTGAAGCTCATATTAAACATTGTTTGCAGAGAAGGTAAGAGAAGCTAGTAAATCATCAGGCCTATTCCATGGGAGTGACTCTGAAAAGGAGCAAAAGCTCCAGCTCTTTATCTTGGCAGGTGTCTCTATTCTCCTGTGTTCAGGCTTTTGGTTACATCAGTTACTTTTCCTTTTAATGAGCTGCATATATTTCTAACACAGCCTTCAGTGACATCAAGAAAAAAAAATAACTTTTTAACTCTAAAAGACATTATTCTCATTCTGAGAACAAATGAACAAACTGTGTGTGGGTATGTGTGTCCAGTTGCAACTTAACACAGACTCAGAAGCATAGAGAATCTTCTCACAACACCTAATCATCCCTTGATCAAAAAACCAGTAGATAGAATCTTGTCATGTTATTCCATTTAATAAGTAGACGGACGGAGGTATAGTACAAGTTTTCAAGTGTAATGAAGATGATCGCAGGGTAACACAGTTCCCCTTAAATGTTGAGCAAAAGTTATGAAACGAGACAAAATTCAAACAATAACATGTAAAAATAAATGGATCTCCTGATAAGTAGGTGCTTCACCTTTAAATGTTTTTATTAGAGCTGGATACACAGGAAGATGCATGTTACTAAACCAACACTAGCAATGATAGCACATTTACATTTTGAAGAATTGTAGCATAGATGAAGTGAACAGCAGCCTTTTCAAATACATTCCTGGTCTAAAATAAATCAGGCTGACAAAGACTTTAAGGAAATACACAACTATAAATGAATTTAGAAATCTATTTGGGGGTCTATCCTTTAGCATTTCATATTTACGACGGCAAATCCCTTGAATAACAATATACAGAATATTAACCTTAAAATGGACCACTCCTTCACTTTTAACTTTCTTCCTTCCTGTCTCATTAATTATTTTTCTTTCTTCCTAACTCCCTACCTTCTCTCTCCTTCCTTCTTCACACATGTAATCATCTAGCCTCAAGTAAGTTCTCAACATACTGGACAGTGTGAAGATGTGTCCACTCCCAAAAGAGTCTGAATGTTGCAACGGATTAATGCTGTCCTGCAGTTCCAACATTTCATGATCTGAAAGAGGACTGTCCAGTACAGGGACACTGATCCCAGGATGAGGTTAAGTCATGTATCCGTTCTCCTCCCATTCAATCTCTGGTGTCGGTATACCCTGGAAAAAGAAAGTGTGTATGAGCATTGTGCATAATGAATCTCAAGAAAACACATTTAATAAAGCCCTATCATGACCTTTTAACAATTACTTAACATCAATGATGTCAGGCAGAACCTAGCATCTCCATTATTTCATAAATTATTATTATTTTTTTAAATTAATGGGCAAATTTTATGTTAAAACAGCAGTGAGAATATCACATCTGGAAGGTCTAATGCCTTGCATTTTGAACTTGCAGATGCGTCATGACTTTGTAATGTCATGACATTATAGTTGACAGTGTCCACTTCAGTAGAGGTGCACACAAACAGAACCGTAATTTCAACAGCCATTTTGTCTTGAATCCAAGAAGCATAGAGCAGAGGTAGATTATCAAAGTGTTGAACATTTGATTTATAGTTAAGGATCAACTTGACATGTGATCAATCATTTTAACAGAACATACATTTGCCCCTGGATCAGAAACAGGATTCAGAGCCTGGCCCAGATGCCACAGCTGATTTGGTGTCATGTTTTCCTCTGTCCTGATTGGATGGTTGTCCCACGCATCTCTAAAGACATCCAGGCTGGCCTGGATGCGAGACAAGAAAATATAGTGGCAACAAAACATGTGAAGGATGTTACTGATGTCGAGCAAGTCTTGGTCTTCCAGAGAGTGCAGGATGTTGTAATATAGACCAGTAACACTCATGAAGACATCACGCCACAGGCGCTCGATCCTGGATTTGGAGGGGGATTAAATAAAAGAAAATTATAATATACACACAAATTTACATGTCCATACATCCGTTTTCAACTTGAGTTATCTTTTGAATGGTCGCAGGAGGACTGGTGCCTATCTCTAGCAGTCAAAGTGTGAGACGAAGGGTACACCCTGGGCACGTCAACAGGCACAGGCACGCGCGCACAGACACAAAGCTTCCAAATTAGGTTAAACTCACCGTTGATTGTGTACACTTTTTCCTGCAATGAAGCTGTTGGTGTCAGTTCCACGAACTGAGAACATTAATTCTGCAACACCTACATTTTCTCCGCCATGATCTCCTCTCACCATGAAAAAAAAAAAACATTAGAATCTTGCTTCAAACATTTTTAATGCACATCTATAACAATCTACATCAATTTGAGTCTCACAGAAATTTCCTTATGTACCTTGCTACTAAGTGAGTAAACAATAAACAATGTGGCATTATTAACCCTCTGCTGGGGAAATTTTTTTTGAAAGAGGGAAATGTTCACCCCCCCCCCCCCCCCATAGATTTTACTATATGACCTCAAATGGCATGTTATCTTTGGTCAATAACACACTTTAGGCAAAAGCAGATTTGAACAGGGTAACAGAGGGTAAAGTTGAGAATAACATGAATACCTCAGAGGAAAGCCATGCTCATTCACAGCTTCACTGAAGAAGGCAAGGTGGGTGTCTGCCCGGTTGTTGTCAGCTACCTTCAGGTACATGATCTATGTAATTCAAGCACAAACACTCTCATATGACACATTTTTATAGGGGTCAAAACAATCAATTACCAAACGAAAGGTACAACAGCCATACAATAACATGTTAGATAATTAAATAAGTTAAGACCTGTGAAAACCAAAAATAGCAATTATCTTCTATGAAAATATCTCAGTTATTAACGTTCATGCTTTGGAGCAGAAAAAGTGCATGGCAATTAAATATTACAAGCTCAGTTCGCTCCACTCTGATGGTCACCTGTTCCAGCCAGATACCTTCTTTCTAGGCGTTCAAAGTCGGAAACTCGCAGAGTAAACTGGGTGCTTAGAGGAGTATCTTCAGTTGTTTAAGACTGAGGGTAACGCTGCACACGCTGATTCGACTAGCATGGATGCTAATGATGTAAACATAAAAGAGGGCTTGCTTCGTCTCGCGCGCTAACGCCGCAAAGCACTATGGGATTAGTAGTCTTATTAGCGAAATCGCCCGGCGGGCCAGTTTAATATTATATATTTGATATTTGATTTCGCGGGGCAAATAAAAATAGACCAAGGCCTTGAGTTTGACAACCGTCGCCTAAAAAAATGGTACCTAGATATGCTAACTAAACAAATGTTCACTTGAGTTTAGCTTGATGTTAAACTAGATGAAGAATGGACCAGACTTCACGTAACGTCTGGACTGAATTTAACATAAAACATTTTACTTGATCATGAAGAACGCTTCTACTCATAATTCTATAACATTGCATCAATTACAACGAGGGAATAAGATAAAACTATTACTCACAGATCGTGACCGGTCCATCCTGCTCTGCCGTGTGAACTGCAATGCGCATGCGCACAGCAGATCTGTTCTGTGACATAAGGACCCATATGATTGGCTGAAAGCGAACAGCCCTGGCAGAAGCATATATTTGATTGACAGGTTCATTAGCCAATGGTGACGTTTGTTGACCTGCGACGTTAGGAGAGTCTCAAAATTCAGCACACCGATTTCTCTCACGAATGCAGGAAGGTTCACAAATGAGAAGCTGTTCGTGAATGCACCACACAGATTTCACTCACAAACGCGGAAAGGTTCACAAATGAGAAGCTGTTCGTAAATGCACGTTCAGCAATTCGTACGATCTGAGTTTATATTACAAGTGTTCTTACAAATTATATTTGTGAACCACAGAGTGTGAACTTCAGAATTAGCATGTGCATTTGTGGAAAATGTTGCGTGACTTATTTTTTCACATTATATTTATGAGTCAAAGAGTGTGAATTTCCGAATGAGCGTGTGCATTTGTGTTCCTCCGAATTATATTTGTGAAACACAGAATGTGGATTTCCGAATGAACGTGTGCATTTGTGGAAAACGTTGTGTGACTTAATTCTTATTGAGACTGTTCTGGCCTCATACTCTTCAAACCTGTTGTAGAGAATTGGAAGCTAACTTCAGCCTCGTACAGGGTCCCTCATAACTGTTCGCTTCAGTTCGTCGCGGGTCGCTGCTCCGTCTCTCATCCATCCATCTCGCATCTCATCTCCAACGAAAAAAAAAAAACAAAACAAACCAAAAACAAATCTGATTAGTTTTTAGGTGTAAATCGGTTAGCTGGACTCCTGTGGGGTTTCTATGATCTCTGTGATAGCAACCACACACATCGTGTACGTAGACATGCTACAGATACAATGGGGTAACAGTATCTCAGAGCCATTTAAGGTTAGTAAAAGTGTCAGACAACGAGGCACTCCGTCTCCTCTTCATGGATGACCTATCAGTAGGTGCTTTTATAGGACACACACAAAAATCCTGCCATGTGAATTCATGGATTATTTTTCACATTCTGTCTCTCACAGTTGAAGTGTACCTATGATGTAAATTATGGGCCATTCCCATCTGTACCGGGTCGGCCCGGGCCGGGTAGCCCCAGTCGGCCCCAGCCTGGCCCGGTTGATTCCACACATCCTTGTCTTAAGCCCATGTGGGCTGATTCTACCCACCAATCAGAGGCTTGCTCTAATGGAAGGTGTGAATTTGCTGTCAGCAGTGGGTGTGTTGGCCCTGGTCGGCCTGAAGCAGACCCCCTCGAGAAGAGGGCTGAGAATGAGCCTTGGTTGGCCCAGAAAAATACCAGGCCACCCAGATATGTAAACAACCTACGCTACCCGGCCCGGGCCGACCCGATACAGATGGGAATGGCCCATTACTGACCTCTGTCATCATTTTAAGTGGGAGAACTTGCACAATCGGTGGCTGACTAAATACTTTTTTGCCCCGCTGTAACTGGATTGCAGCTTTAAGAATTCCTCTGTCTTGATATTGCCCTCTTTATACTTTACATATTTTAAATCTATGCCTGTATATCAGTTTTTTGTGGCATTCTGTGTGAAACAAACACTTTAAATCAAGGTTACAGGTAGGGCTGCACGATATTAAGAAAACCTGCAATATTCGATAACAATGATTAATATTGCGATGACGATATTACTTACGATAAATAAAAACTTAACTCAGGAACAAAAATAATCAAAAACAAAAGAAATTAAAAAAAATCATGAAAATGAGAAAAGCTAAAGATGTGAGGACAGGGGAAAAGAAAATGAAAATGAACAAGAATCAGTGGATCCCAGGAAAAGCGGAATCAGCAAAAAGAGCAGAGCAAAGCTAACTCAGGTGTTCGCTAACCATCAGAATTAAGTGCCGCCCGCCTTACCCCCAAATTCCACTACCTCCGCTCCGGTCCGCCCCCGCCTTCCGCAGCCGCTCGCTTCCGAACTCAATTTTTACTGGTACCCGCTCTACAACGGCTCCGCTCCGGTGCGGAGACCTGAGGGGGGCAAACAAGCATGCGCGGGATTTTCGAGATCTTGCGATACAGTCCGAGCTGTAAACGCGGAAGTTAGATCCAAACACCGGTTGTGTGGGAGAAGCATCAAAATGAACTGTTTAATCTGCCCATCATTCGTGTTGAGAGATCAGCAGTGTTTGGCTCAACAAAGTGTGACTACTTTGATAGTAGAAACTGTATTTATGGCTTACTTTTGTGCATTTAAACTTCAGCCGCCATTGATAGTTGTTAAAAGTTGTTAAACCTGTGCATATGAAACAAAAAACGCCTTTTGTTTATCGATTTATTTTGAAAAACGGAAAGTGTGCTTGCTCCTTTTCCTGTTGGACGGTTGTGATTTCTGTTCATTTACTGCGGAGGTGCTCCGGCGTCCGGCAAAAATAGGATCAATTCTATTTTTGCCGGACGCCGGAACAGAGGGCGGCGCACGGCGCCGCACTGCCAGAGCACGTCCGCAGTAGTGGAATTGGTCTGATTGACTACAACGGGACCGATTTTGCTCCGGCGTTCGTGTCGGAGCAGAGCGGAGCGGAGGTAGTGGAATTTGGGGGTTAGGGGCGGGCATCTAACCTATGAGAACCCACCCATTTGGCCCAATGGGTGAAGAGCTCTATTTGATTTGTTAAAAAACATCGTGCTTCCGTTTGATTGACAGAATGCATAATGTGTAGCAAACATTTGAGCTGACCATTCATTGCGATATTATCTGTTCTTTGCGATATGCATATTGCGCATGCTGCTATCGCGATAACGATATATTTACGATATATTGTGCAGCCCTAGTTACAGGTTGTCAACATGTTATACAAGTCAAATTAATTCCAGTGCGTTTACATTGTTTAGTCTCTGTATATTATTTCACTGCAAAATGTCACTCAATTTTCTGAGTCAGTTTTTATCGCACCAGCTTAAAGCAATAACACAAATGTTATGTGAGTGATTATAAAGTCAGTGGTCAACAAATCACATCACGTGTTTCTGTGTTTCCTACAGATATGAAGCAGATGGCTGTGGTTAAAGAAGAAGCTCCTGAAGAACAGAGTGCTGGTGTGGACCAGCAGGATCCAGAACACCTCCACATAAAGGAGGAACAGGAGGAAGTCTTTACCAGTTTGGAGGGAGAGCAGCTCCATTTGAAAGAGGAGACTGATGCCACCAGTTTTTGGTTCAGTGCAGTTTCTATAAAAAGTGAGGATAATGACGAGAAACCTCTGGTCTCACAGCTTCATCAGCATCAAATGGAAGACAGACACGTTCCAACCAGCAGCTCAGCAGACCAGAAATCAGCAGAAACTGGTGGAGGAGCAGAAACTAGCAGGAACCCAGATCTGAACCCTCATGAACAGACATTTGATTCTTCAGAGACTGAAGTTAGTGGAGATGATGAAGAGGACGACGATGCGAATCTAGACTCTGAGCTATCAGACTCTGGGTCTGAAAATGGAGACGGAGACAAAAACAGGAATGGAAGCAGATCTTCTGAATCAGATGTTAAGACTGTTAACAAATATTTTACCTGCCCTGAATGTGGTAAACAAATTCTCCACAAATGCGCTCTCCAGAAACACGTGAGAGTAAAAGGTCATTCAGGAATAAGGTCTTCATGCTGTTTGATTAATAAGAAATGTGTTGGAGTGAAGCAACATGTAGACTCATGCATGAAAGTCCAGAAAAAACAAAAATCATTCAGTTGTAATTACTGTGAAAAAAGATTCAAGAGAAATACACATCTAACTGAACACATAAGAATCCACACAGGACAAAAACCTTTTGTTTGTGAGCTCTGTGGGAAAAGATTCAGCCGAAAGACATATTTAAACAGTCACATGACGGTCCACACAGGACAGAAGCTTTTTGCCTGTGAGCTCTGTGGACAAAGATTTAGTCATAAAACAAATTTAAACAAACACATGAGAGTCCACACTGGACACAAACCTTTTACCTGTGAGCTCTGTAAACAAAGATTTACCTTAAAGAGAAGTTTAAAAAGACACATGAGTATCCACACAGGACAGAAGCCTTTTGGCTGTGAGCTCTGTGGACAAAGATTTAGCCAAAAACCAAGTTTAAACAGACACATGAAAGTCCACACTGTAACTTAGTGAGGTTGAGTTGGTGTCTCCACTTTAGTCTAGATCATATGACTTAGTCCAAGATTGTGTCTCCTTTCTAACTGATGGTTGTCGATTTTAGAAAAAATATCTACTAGATAGAAATTAGGATAATTTAATTATTAGTTTCAAAAAATATTGAGATTTTTTTAAGCTAATAAAAATTAGGGCTGCACAAATGTATTGTTACTGCAATATCATCGTGCGTAATTGTCCCATTGCAAAGAAAAGAAAAACATGGCAATAACTGGTTAGTTCAATTGTTTGCTACACATAATCCCTATTCTCACTCTCACAGAAGCATTAAGTTTTTGACCAATCAAATTGAGCCCTTCACACATTTGGCATATTGGTTCTTATACAGTAGATGCCCGCCCCCTAGAGAAAAGACAATTTAGGAGGCTAGCAAACAAACACCTGAGTTAGCTTGGAGAGCGTCGCAATGACTAAGGACAAGCTGTGTGCAGAAAATGTTAGGGAGAAAGAACTCATTTTTAAAACAACACTTCTCTTATTTGGAGATATTTTGGTTACAATAAAGGCAATATTCAACAAGCACAAGTATTATACAAAACATGTCACTTGTGGCAACCATGACAGGAAACAAGACAACTTACCATTGTCACCTCCAACAAAACCATAAGTTAAAGTCCCATTAGTTATCACACTGTTGTGTGAAATTTGTTTTCCACGTTTGGTACGACCGACCATAGATTTGAGCCCACGATCTCCCAGTCTGTGTGATATTCATTACTATTAAGCTACTGAGCTGGTCATAAACATTATATATGGAGCTCAAGAAAGCAAGCGATGGCAAACCCAAAGTTTCTGACGTTAAAACAAATAAAAGCACAACAGCTTACCAGATGTTCATCTACTGAAGTTTTGGGAATGAATTGAGTTTTATTTTCTGTTTGCATTTTACTTTTTTTTTTCTTTTTTAAATTCCTGGATAAATCTACTTATGTGTGAAGACTGTTTTATAGCTATTTACATTTAAATTTGTAACGGAATGTCATTTACTGACTGAACTCTGTTTAGATTTATCCAAGCCATGTTTCTCAGTCAGGGTTTCTAAACCTTTTTGAGTTTTGGTTCAGTCAATCTTAATAAAGATTCAATTTCCAGGGAAAGGATGGGAATCTGCTTGCCCCGTAATGCTTCAGTAATCCGAAGGTTGCAGGTTCAATCCCCGCTCAGTCTGTCGCTGTTGTTGTGTCGTTGGGCAAGACATTTAACCCACCTTGCCTGCTGGTGGTGTTCGGAGGGACCGGTGGCGCCTGTGTACGGCAGACTGGCCTCTGTCAGTGTGTCCCTGAGCAGATGTGATACATTTGCTATAATGTAGCTCATCATCACCAGGATGTGTGTGAATGGGTGAATGACTGATTGTGTTGTAAAGTGCCTTGGGGGCTTCCAGGACTCTAGAAGGCACTATATCAAATACAGGCCATTTACCATTTTGTGTCAGCATCTTGCAGTGGTTTTGAGCCTTGAGGATGATTTATACATCTCCGTGAACTTTGCAACGGAGAGACGCACACGGAGTGTCGGAAAGGTTTTCGATGACTGAGAACCTCCATCAGCTCTGTCTCCTGTCTGCCCACAATTATTAAAATAAATATTGTGTTTGACAAGTTTTTTGTGCTGCCAAATATCTCATTTTGATTCCAGTTTTGATATTTTAATGGATATTTATAAATTACATTAATTGAATTATCACATTGTTGCATGTTTAACTAGCTCTATTGTGATGAATTAAACTAGCACCTCACTGTTAAAAGCTCGTTTTAATTTCAAGCATGTTTAAGTATTTATGGACATGAACAAAAACAGGAAATATATAAATTGAGATTTATTTAATTAATATAACAAATAAGGGGGAAAGAGTCATTGAAAGGCACATTCTTCTGGAAGCTCCTGATCCTGACGACACCAGCAGGAGACCAGCTGCAGACACCAGTGGATCACCTACAACCAAGAGAGCAGCTGGTATCAGTAAATAAAGAAATCAGGGCAGTTTTAGTGGGCTGAATACATTACAGAATAATTTTCTCATGGGGTAGTTTCCTAACTTTCTATGCAGCAGATTGTAACTTGAGCCCAGGGCTCCTGGAGAGCTGCTATCCAGCACGTTTCAGTGGTTTTCCTGCTTTAACAGGTTAGATTAGCTGTTAAGCAGCTCAGCTATTTGTTGCTGATTAAAACCAGGTGTGTTGAAGCAGATAAATCTCTAAAACATGCTGAATACTAGCTCTCTAGGGCCGTGGAGCCAAACCCTGCAGCTAATCTAATGCTATGGCTAACGACTACTTACCATTCAGAGCTGGTTCTGTTGGGTCGGTTCCGCTAGTTTCAGGCAACTCACAAGCTCAAAACAATAAGGCTCAGGTCCGCTTGTCTCCTCCAAATAGACTTGGTCCCTTTCTTCTCGAGTGTCTGAGTAAGGAGGGGGAGAAACGTCCTCCACTTCTAATAACGGCTCAGAGTGAAGGGAGCTAGCATCGTCTCGTTACCCATCATCTTCGTCACTGCCGCGGCTCCGCCCTCTCGGTCCGCCAGGCAACGCCTACTAATGTTGCAGTTTTTAAAATTGATACGCGGGTGGAGTAAGACTCTGAGGGGGACATTACCACTTCTTTAATGAGAGTGAGATTCAGCCTGACAAATTAAATATGGCACTTTTCCTGTTACTAACTTAAATTAGAGTAGTTGTTATTTTGCACAGAAAAAGTAAAAAATTTAAGCATTTTAGTTTTTCTTTTTTATGAGAGGGGGACACGGCATGCATCAGTTTATATCAGCATCAGAAATTAAGAGTCAGACAATATCTGTATATCAGATATCAGTAAAAAAGCTAATATCTAGTATTCCTAATATGTTTTTATTTATTTAGCAGACGCTTTTCATCCAAAGCGACTTACACTTTATAACCTATAGGGCATGTTGTAATCTGTGGGGGAAACCGGAGTACCCGGAGGAAACCCACGCATGCATGGGGAGAACACGCAACTCCACGCAGAAAGGCCGCAGCCGAGCAGAGTTTCGAACCTGCAACCTTCGTGCTGCGAGGCAACAGTGCTAACCACTGTGCAACCATGCAGCCAAATATGAATATAATATGAAGTGAGCTCCACCGTTGCATGCACACAACCTGCTCTGAAGTCATGTAGCTTGCTTTTTGAAGCCATCTTTCTTCCCCCTGGATGGAAACATTCAAAGCTGCTTTCCTGAGACAGACTGCTGCCGTTTCTGCTGCTGGGAGCTGAAATATTCAACATCTATCTGCACTGATGACAGCCGGAGAGGAAGAGCAAGTTGAGGACTTGAACTTCTCTCTCCTTTCTCCCACATCTCTTCTCCTGCTCTGCAACACAAACCCCTGACGGTCTGTTGCTTAGCAACTGTAAAATAAAGCAGTAGGCTCTGAGTGAGAGGAGAGGAGAGGAAGAGAGTTCACAAGTACTGCAATACACTACTGTTTGTTTGGCTCTACATGATCCCAGCACATCTCTCGGTACCCATCTGTGGATCTGTGATGACTTGTGACTTCTGCTTCTCGGACAGCCGACCAATCAGGGTTGGCGGTTAGGCGAGCTCATCGGTTCCCTAGGCTACCGGTGTGATTGACATTCAGCCTCCTGCAGCGGAGCGCATGGCAGTGTATCCCTGATGCTCCTGCTTCCCCTGAGAGACAGTGGAGAAATCTGGAAGAGAAGAGAGACGGAGAGAAAACACAAGAGCAAGTGGAATGCTAATTATCTAAAGTCCTTCGGTCGTTTCCTCCCGCTCTCTTTACTGGAAAGATGAAAGCTGCTGCGCAGGAAGAAGCCGGCTGAAGGCAGAGGAAAGGAAGGATTCCCACATAAGAAGGATTTGTTGGTAAGAGAAGCACCGCCACACTTTTCTGTCACCTGTTCCTGTCATCGCTGTGGATCATCAGGCAAACCTGGGATCTTTTCACTCGTGTGTCATATGTGTGTGTGGGTGAGACAGAGAGACAGTTTTTGTGTTTGCTGCGCTGCTGGTGAAGTGGTTTAATACCACTGTTTTGAAACCTACATCGCATATATGGTACGGTCTCAGTCACGCTTGCTTTAGCTGAGTCAAGAGCTGCTCCCCTAAATGAGACTACAGGAGCCAGAGGGGATTTTATCAATAGTTGCAGGGGTATGGTTACAGCTTAGGCCAGGATTTCTAGGCTTGTCTACTGTATCTGCATAAGAGGAGGAGTATTAATTACATAACACTTCATCCATACCCTCGTGTCAGAGCTGTGCAGCATCATGCTGTCCCATTGGTCCCTAAAGCCATGCTGAGGTGTTATTTTCTACTGAGGGGGCTCTTAAAAGGATCTTATGTGAAGGATTCTGTTCTGTAGAGGAATCCAGATACTGATTCTTGGAATCAGCAGCAGCAGCTGAAAATCCACAGAGTTCATGTTGCTCTGAGTGCCTGGCATGTGTGAGATGTCTGACCTTTGTGTCACCAGGACTCCTTGAAACCTCCGTCGGTTACTGAGGGTTTGGGAACAGCCGGCTTCTGTTTGCCCTCAGGTCTCAGGTCTGCACCGATGGGGGACTCGGCTTTCTGCTTGGCTGCTCTTATGCTCTGAGTCCTTTTTCTGACCACTTGAAGACACCTCAACAGCTTTTATACAATGTCTGAAACCTCTGAACACCAAACAGCAGCACGCCCTCTACAATGTTTTGATGACTTTAGGACAAGTTTTTGATTAAAAAAAAAGTGTCAAGCATATTTCAAAACTATTTGATGCATAAATGTTTTGATTTAGATGCTATAAAATTTTTAAATAACATTCAGGGCATGTTGTCAGATGTTAACAGATTACAAACTACACCTTACAGAAGAAATTAAGATTTAAAGATTAGGTTTGCTCTTTAATCCCTTACACACACACACACACACACACACACACACACACACACACACACACACACACACACACACACACACACACACACACACACACACACACGCACGCACGCACGCACGCACGCACGCACGCACGCACGCACACACACACACACACACCCAGGTAATCAAACCATCCATCCATTGTCATCCGCTTATCCGGAGTCGGGTCGCGGGGGCAGTAGCCTAAGGCGAGAGGCCCAGACTTCCCTCTCCCCGGCCACGTGGGCCAGCTCCTCGAGGACAATCCCAAGGCGTTCCCTGGCCAGGTGAGAGACATAGTCCCTCCAGCGTGTCCTGGGTCTACCTTTAGGTCTCCTCCCGGTTGGACGTGCCCGGAAAACCTCACCAGGGAGGCGTCCAGGAGGCATCCTGACCAGATGCCCGAGCCACCTCAACTGGCTCCTCTCGATGTGGAGGAGCAGCGGGTCTACTCCGAGCCCCTCGCGGATGACCGAGCTTCTCACCCTATCTCTAACGGAGAGCCCAGTCATTCTGCAGCGAAAATTCATTTCGGCCGCTTGTATCCGCAATCTTGTTCTTTCGGTCACTACCCAAAGCTCATGACCATAGGTGAGGGTAGGAACGTAGATCAACCGGTAAATCAAGAGTTTCGCCTTCTGACTCAGCTCTCTCTTCACCACGACAGACCGGTACAACGCCCGCATCACTGCAGACGCAGCACCAATCTGTCTATCGATCTCACGCTCCAGTTTTCCCTCACTCATTAACAAAACCCTGAGATACTTGAAAGTCCTCCACTTGGGGCAGGACCTCATCCCTGACCTGGAGAAGGCGTTCTACTCTTTTCCGAATCAAGACCATGGTTTCACATTTAGAGAACACACACACACACACACACACACACATATATATATATATATATATATATATATATATATATATATATATATATATATATATATATATATATACTTTTATAGAAAGAAAGTTACAGCTTTATTTTTGCATTAAAAATATGTCAAATGTTCAGATAATTATTATTTTCTCATTGCATTTAAGATTGAACAAAAATATCTTCAAGGCTGAAGGGGAAGGCTGCGTTTATTTAGAATTCAGGAGAGAGGAGAGCACGTCTCAGCTAGTAGAAGCTAACAGTTAGCATTAGCAACCCCACCACACAGCAGAACTCCTTAAGGTGTGTGTTATTTGTGGAGATAAAACATCCATGTTTAATTTTCACTCAATAACAAAGGGCAAATGGAAGAGTCTTGTTGCTGGTAGCCGATCAGAGGCGCAATGCTCTCACATCATGAGACTCCTACTCCTGCCGTTTTCCACCCGCCTTTGACTAACTTCTCCTCCCTGAAACAGGAGCGTGAGAGCTTTTTTCTCACAAAAAACGACTCACAAGGCATTCATTTGTACTAAAGAACACAGCATTTTTGTCATCTATTTGTTGTGTTGTGCAACTGTTTTTAATGTCGTGCAAACTTCATTTAACAGTCAACGTGCACAGCTCATTCTTTAGGCAGCAACAGAGCAGACTGAGGCAGATCAGAGCGAGAGAAAGCCGGTGTTTCGATGAGGAACGACACACTTAGAACAGTAAGTTGTATACTGACGCAGTGTGCTAATCTAGGTGCTGTAGAGGAAAACAGAAACCCGCAAAGACACAAAGGCAGAAATGGTTTGGGATCAACAGTGCAACTACGGACAGATTAGCTAAAGCTAGCGGGTAGCAGGCTCACGATTAAGTGGGGTTCCGAAAAAACGAGATGGTTGTGAATCGAAGAATGTTTAAAGTCCACAAGCGGACGAAAAGTCCTCACCATCCTGTTTATTCTTAGCTGTGTGCAGCGCTATGGAGCAGAACCGCAGCTGTCAGGTTCCAGTCGGCTCTCCTAAACACCACAGCAGGTTTATGGCATGCCACTGTAGCATGTAATTTACAAACGCGTCCATCTTTGAACATAATTTAAACTATTGCCAAACCGTTCATAATAAATATGTCAGCATTAAATTTTTAGCAGTAGAAAGTGAATGTTATTAGCATTTCCAGTAGCTTACTGCTGAACATGTTAATGAAATACATAAAATTTTACTGATCATAGTTTAGTTATGATATATTTAGGTGATAGCATGTTTTTTTGCACGTTATTGAACTGTTTTCCAATCATGTTTTATTTTTACATAAAGTAAAAGGAGAGACAAAATGTTTCCTCAGCAGTTTTTAAATTTTCCCATTTAATGCCATTAATGGATTAATCAAGTCGAGACCCCATCCAATTCATCGATGATCCAAATAATCATTTGTTGCAGCCCTAGTCCAGAACGCCTCCATCTGATGGGATCCACCTCTTCTTTAGTGAAGTCTCCTCGATCCCAGCCATCTTAACATTATCTGACTCATGCTGCTCATAAAGCTCAACAACATGGCAGCTCAGCGGCGTTTTGAGTTAATCAGGAACATTTCTTTAGCAACACTGACTTGAGCTTTTAAAACTGCAAAGTAGCTGCATCCTGTTACAGCCACGTCTCATTTCTGTTTTCTTAGAGATTCTCAGACCTGTACGATAAATCCGTCAGCTAACGGCTCGTTTAGGAACGACAGGTTCTTCTGTTTGCTCTCGGTGAGACTTGATGAGAAATTCGATGGTGTTTCTGAAGCTAGAGTTGGAGGTGATCGTGTCTCAAGAGCTACTGCCTGTTTCCTTGCCGGCGTAGGAGGAAAACATCTCCTCTTCTGAGCCTTTCTGTCTACTACAGATTTAGAGATTTGGGAGCTTTTCTCTTTCATTAAGTTGCGTGCACAGAAGTGCGGAGAAAGAAAAAGGGGAGATGAGCCAGACCAGGAGTCAGATTTGAGCCCACATCTTCACAAGTACATGATTTTCACTTCAGCCCACGGATTCACTGGGATGCCCCACAGCTGAGAGACACAGTCACAGAGGTAATCCAGCGATTACAGCTTGAGCCCTGTTAAACCGCAGAATATTTCCTGACCAGAGCTGTGGGGTTGGCTGGAATTAGTCATGTTTTAGCAAGCCTGTTAAATCACAAGACGACGATGTGCCAGTGACTGTGTGTAAGTGATAAAGTGGCAGCAGGAGGTGCAAATGTCTTATTACTGTTATCTCTTTGGTATATGATGGATTTATTGAGGAAACATTGTACTTTATAGGTAAGCTAATTTGTTGTGGCATTTAATTTAGAAAAACAGAAGTAGTTTTTGTCTATGTGACCCTGATTTTACTATGAATTCAACAAGATCCTTCCACTAAGTTGAATTCATTTGTATGTGTGTTTCATCTGATTAAAGGTGCCATTTGTAACAATTACAGCATGTGGTCAAATGTGGTTACGGCAGTCCATTGTTTTAAGCCAAAGTATTACTATCTCACTCCTGTTCTGAGAGTTTCATGAATGTTGCCAGTTGTGGATCAGCACCAGGATTCTAGACGACAAGCAAATATAGCGTTTCAGAAGCTAGTGAGTTGACAAGCAGATGTGTTAGCACTCTTGGGTGCACTTACCATACTTATTATGGTAGTTTGTCTACGGCATTACAGGAAGTGTTGTTGTTTGCCAGCTTGCTGTTAGCTCTGAACGACTCATTAAAATATAAGTAAAATGCCTCGAAAGACGGTAAGTCTTGCGTGAGTGCGTGCTTGTGTGCACGCGCTCGTTAACGACTGGTTTTTAGATTGAGAAACTCCGAAAGAACACGCGGGGGAGTTGAGGGGGTGCGGTCTATCACTGCCTCAGTGCAGCTCTCTCGGTGAGGCGACACCTCTTTCAGAAGCGTTTTCCTAAAGAAAGTGTGGATGAAATATGTCTCCACCCATGCCTTGACTCTCACTTTAAGATATTGCACCTTTTAAGTTTTCGCTTTTTAAACTCAAACTTTGAACCTCTAATAGCTTGTAAACCACCTTAAATGCCATACCTTCACTGTGGATCACTGCTTCTTTAATCCACATTTG